GCTGCCGTGGACCGTCTTTGAGTACATTCGCCTGAGCGAAGAAGAGACGACGTCGTCGTCGCGCATCTTTATCAAGATCCTCTGCCAAGAGCTCGCGCAGCACCTCGGCGTGGCCAAGCTCAAGGAGCGCTTCATGGACGAGTTTATGGCCGCGACCTTTAGCGGTCTCTTCCCCAAGGAGAACCCGCGCAGCATGCGCTTTGCCATCAACTTTTTCACGTCGATCGGCCTCGGTGGGCTCACGGTCGAGCTCCGCGAGTACCTCAAGAACGCGCCCAAGGCCATCATGAACGCCCCGGCGCCGTCGTCGGACGACAGCAGCTCGGACAGCTCGTCCTCGAGCCGCAAGTCGTCGTCGTCGTCGTCGTCGTCCGGATCGTCGTCCGGGTCGTCGTCCAGCGACAGCAGCTCCGACTCGAGCGACTCCGAATAGGCAGTACCTGTCCCTAATCTTGCTCGCCATCATACTGTGTTTACTCCATCATTTCGTCATCTCGGTCGTTTCCCGCGTGGCCAGGAGGCAGTGACGCCTTGAGGTCGTGTGAAGTTGGCTATATCTCCAGGCCGCGTGCCCTACCACCGCTTCCTCGCAGCGCTCCAACTCCTACGATAAGCTCTTCTTCTTCGTTCGATGGCATACATGTGTAGCACTCCGGTGCAAGCAGGATTACTCAAGTACACCGACTACGACGGCGCTGTCGCAGGTCGACGACGATGACGATGGCCGCCCGGACCGTCATCATCATCGTCGTCGTCGTCGTCGTCGTCCTGCGGCGGTGGCCGCCTCTGCACCAGCAGCGACGACGGGTGCTGTCCATGGCCAGTCGCCTGTCTAACGAGGTGAAACGCCGAGCTGGAATTAGCGCCGTCCGGATGCGCCGGCCGTGGGTTTCACATGGCGGGTTGCAGGAACAGAAATATATTTTCGAATTCGCTCGGGCCAGATCGCATCTCTAGATCGCTTTCCATGGAAGAAAAGTCGCGACGCCCCGAAGGTAGACGAATATGACGAGGTTCGCCGCGTCGGATGGCCTTGACGCTCGCTGTGCATGTAGACACGCCCTTCAAGCAGCAGAAGCTCAAGGCGTGGCAGCCGATTCTGACGCCCAACTGGGTCATTGGCACCTTCTTCGTCGTCGGGCTCATCTTCATCCCGATCGGCATCATCCTCCGCGTCGAGTCGGACCGCGTACGCCGCTGGCTATGCGCATGGTGGCAAGCATGATGATGGATGTGCTTCGTAGGTCGTCGAGCACGTGATCCAGTACGATGGCGAGGGTGCGCTCACGGCCACGAACGGCACGCAAGGCGGGCGGTACACGGTCTTGAACACGAACGGGTCGCCGGGCTGCCAGCTCGCGAAGGAGTCGGACGGCAACCAGTTCAACCTCTCGGCGCACAGCTGCATCCTCCGCTTCACGCTCGACCAAGACATGAAGGCGCCGATTTATGTCTACTACCAGCTCGACAACTTTTACCAAAACCACCGCCGGTACGTCGCGAGCCGCAGCGACGAGCAGCTCCGTGGTGCGCAGCCCGCGTCGCTCTCGGACTGCGAGCCGATGGGCTCGTCGCCCAAGGACACGCCGCGGTACAGCTCGCTGACCAACTCGACGCCCGACGTCGGCACGTGGGCGCTCAACCCGTGTGGGCTCATCGCCAACAGCATGTTCAACGGTACAAATCCTCTCTCGCTGCGATATCTCAACGTTGCATTAGACATGTTTTGGATCAACAGCATCACGACGCCGTCCGGGACGCGGTACATGCAGACCGACATGTACCCGACGCCATCGTCGGCGACGGTCGAGGTCGTCAACCTCATGGTGCAAACCGGCATTGCGTGGCAGTCGGACATTGACGCCAAGTTTGACAACATTCCAGAAAGCCAGCAGCTCCCGAACGAGATGTATCTGTGGCAGAACCCCAACTACCGGCACATTATCCCCAAGAAGGTCGGCGAGCCGCGTATTTTGAACGCGACCGCGTGGACAACGCCGACGTCGACCGCGTTTGGCGTCAAGAGCGAGCACTTTATCGTGTGGATGCGCACGGCGGGCCTGCCCAACTTTCGCAAGCTCTACGGGCACATTGAAAACGACCTTCCCAAGGGCACGACGCTCGACTTTCTCGTCTCGTCCAGTACGTCTCGCCTTCTGGTAGGATGCGACTTCATGCGACTGTGTAGACTTTGTCGTGAGCAGCTTTGAGGGCAAAAAGTCGCTCGTGCTCTCGACCACGTCGTGGTTTGGCGGCCGCAACCCGTTCTTGGGCATCGCGTACATCACCGTGGGCTCGCTCTGCATGGTGCTCTCGATCCTCTTCTTTGCCAAGCACAAGCTGTCGCCTCGGAAGCTCGGCGATACGCGGTACCTGGTCTGGAAAAACAACCAGTAGCAAGAAAAGCACTCTCTCCTTCATAAGACGATACATACGAATACAAGAACTGCACAGTGTGGCGAGCGAATACGCCGCCGAGAGAGCCGACGCCATCGACGCGCACTGCTACGAAATCGAGCTGCAGGTTGCAGAGGTCGTCACGCTGCACGGATCGCTGCATGGGTCGCGACGCTGACGGCGTGGCATGCGAGTAGCCCTGTCGTTGCGGCTACGAGGCCTCAAGAGTGCGTGCAAGCCCTCGCAGCGGACGAGCCGCCATGGGACATGCTCGCCTCGCATCATCACTTGCTCGTTGCATCCGAAGGCAGGCGTCGAAGTTGCGACGCAGCCGCGAAAAATATGTTTTTTATTATGTGCTATGCACATGCAACGAACAAGATATATAAAAAGAGGCGGAGGGCCGAGACCGAAGTTCGAAGCCAACCGACTCGAAGAGCGGGCAGTAATTTTCGACAGGAAGGGCAGGCCGCGGACGACCTGGACACTACACGATGAGCAACACGGACGCCGAGCACTCGAAGCGGCCCGACGGTACGGTCGCCGCCGATCCCGAGGACGCTCATGCATCGATCGAGACTAGATACGCCGTTCAAGCAGCAGCGCCTGAAGGCGTGGCAGCCCATCTTGACGCCCAACTGGGTCATTGGCACCTTCTTCGTCGTCGGCCTCATCTTCATCCCGATCGGTGTCTTCCTCTTTGAAGAAAACAAGAACGTACGTGCTTGTCGGTACCTGGCGTCTTGTGACGCAACACGCGTAGATCGTCGAGATGTCGCTGCAGTACGATGGCGTCAACATGCGCGCGCCGTCGGCCGCGGACGGCGTCGCGCTCCAGAACGTGAGCGCGAATGGGTGCTACCTGAAGAACGCCAAGGAAGGCGACGTGTTCAACATCACCGAGCACGGCTGCGTCGTCCAGTTTACGCTGCAGGAAGACATGAAGGCGCCCATCATGGTGTACTACCAGCTCGACAACTTTTACCAGAACCACCGGCGGTACGTCTCGTCCCGGAGCGACGCGCAGCTGCGTGGCGAGAAGGCGGAGCTGCCCATCTCGACGTGCACGGGCTCGCCCGGTATCACCAGTCTCAAGTACAACTCGACGGACGACCTCGCCCCGGGCGCGACCGCCGCGTACTACCGATTCAACCCGTGCGGCCTCATCGCCAACAGTCTCTTCAACGGTACGCACACCTCGAGTGTCTATACTGGCGAGGCTCACACTATCCTATAAGATCTCTTTTGGATCAACTCAATCACGACGCCAGACGGCAAGTACCTCGGCCAAACCGACACTTACGACGGAAAGGAAGTCGTCAACCTCATGGACCAGTCGGGTCTTGCGTGGCAGTCGGACATTGAGACCAAGTTTAACAACCCGACGACGCTGGACAGCGAGGACATGATGCTGTGGCAAAACCCCAAGTACCGGTTTGTGATCCCGGCGCGCGTGGGCCAGGAGCGCATTCTGAACGTGACGGGCTGGACGACGGCGGCGCCTCTGTACGGCGTCGAGACGGAGCGCTTCATCGTGTGGATGCGCACGGCCGGCCTCCCCAACTTTCGCAAGCTGTACGGCAAGATCAACACGGACTTGCCCAAGGGCACGGTGCTTCGCTTCCTCGTCTCGTCCAGTACGCCGGCAACTCAAACTCAAAACGATGCATAAAATGACGCTTTGTAGACTTTGCGGTGACGCCGTTTGAGGGCAAAAAGTCGCTCGTGATCTCGACGCTGTCGTGGTACGGCGGCCGCAACCCGTTCTTGGGCGTCGCGTACATGGTCATCGGCTCCATCTGCATTGTGCTCTCGCTCATCTTCTTCGCCAAGCACAAGATGACGCCGCGCAAGCTTGGCGACACCAACTACCTCGTCTGGAAGGCGAAGAACTAGTCGACCTACTACATCAACATCACCACCACCGACACCCCTTGCTGTCTTCTTCCACGACTTGAACGAAGCGTGGCCAAAGGACGACCAAGCGCATCGGTAGATCTGGGGCATCGCATAGAGAGGGACAGATAGCATCGGACATACATCGTCATATTGTGTACTGGGAAGTAAGGCAGATCGCTTTCATCTCGTGCGCGGTGTCAGTGCGAGGCCCAGCGTGTCGACAGCAGCAGACTCGACGAGCGTGACGCCGGTTCCTCTTGTCTTCGGCGGTGCGCTCCATCACCGAGACGCTGTCGTCTTGGTCGTGATTGCCATTGCGTGAAACATTAGAATATGGTGGGGGGCTGGGTGGGGGGTGTCTTTATTGGCCGAGCCGGAGAGTCTCTGCTCAGCACGAGCACACGGCGCTTGGTGTCACCAGCACGCCTTTCGAGTCGCCGCCGCTGCACTGGCCGACGACCCTTCTCGGCGAACGGCGAAAACACGCGGTTTGTCCACATCCGCATCAGCCTCTTGGACTGCGTCACAGGAGCATACTAGAGCGCGCTGCTAGCATGGGCTGCCACGTCATTGTACGCGCCGGTTGCGCCGGTTGGATGTCGATTCATTTCACGTGTACGTATGATTGAGATGGACAACGGCCTGCGCTTCTGTTCAAATTCGCTGTGCGACCCGCGTCGGCGTCGGCTTTGGCGTGCTTCCGTCCTTCTGTGCTTTGGCGTCGAGCGGCTGTCCGTGACGCTGGGCACAACACTTTTGAACGCAACGAGCCTCCGTGATGTGCATGACCGCGGACTGTCCAAGGTCCTGACCGGTGTCTTTCCGCGTCTACCTCAGCCTTTTGACGTCAAAAGCTGACGCTCTTTCGCGCTGCCAATTAACGCAACCAGTCGACCTGCGGGCTTTCTGGTTCCGTTGAACCGCGTCTCGTTGCTTTCAAATATCTCGCTTCCGTGAAGTCTTGCCTCCCGTCTCATGACGTGGCAGTGCCACAGAGCAGTCTGTTACACCAGGCAGATTTGCTGGCACCAGCACCAACAAGCGACATCGATTGTGCATTGCACCTTGACGCGCGTCCTAGACACACTTCCTCGTACTACTTGGTACATAATTCCATAACATTATGAGACGCAGTGGTTGCTAGGGCTCCTCACACGCCCTTGGACCCCTCTCGTTGCACAGGATTGTGAAGCTCGTTGTCTGCTCTTGGTTGCGGAATCGCCTCGTCAGCGCCAGAACGCGGTACGAGGACGTGCTCTAGGCGTAGCATGGCATGAATAAGCAAGGACCAAGCGACTTGTAGCTGCCAAGTCGCTCGATGTGGTCGCGTGTTGAGTTGTTGGCGTTGCTCGTCGGCAAATTTTCATGTCAGAACAATCCAGCCAAATCTTCCCCCGACGGTTTTGATTGGCTGAAATGCCGTCGCTCTCTGGGTGACTGCGGGGCATTTTCGATTTTCACTAGGCAGCATGTCCCGCTTCCTGACCGAGCCCAAGACGGCCAAGACGACGTCGAGCCACGACGCGCCCGAGGTGCGCCTGGCCATCGGCAGCAGCAGCATGCAGGGCTGGCGCGACACGATGGAGGACGCCGAGCTTGTCCAGACCAAGCTGCCCTCGAAGGAGAAGATGGCATGCTTGGCTATCTTTGATGGCCATGGCGGCGACGCGGTCGCCAAGGACGTGTACGCCCATCGCCGCTTGACGCCCTGGAGCTCACGAACTTTGCCTAGGTCGGCCCACATCACGCCGCTGCTGCTCGAGACGGACGGCTTTAAGAAGTTTGACGGGGTACGTTGCATGCTACAGGCCACGGATGGATGCTTATGGCGTGTGTAGAAGGACGCGACTCTGCTCGTCTCGGCGCTGCGTGACTGCTTCCTTACGATGGATGACAAGCTGCGCGAGACGGTTGGCGCCGACGGCCGCGCCGATGAGATTGGCTCGACGGGCCTCATGGTGCTCATCACGGAGCAGTACATCGTCTCGGCCAACGTGGGCGACTCGCGCTGCATTCTGAGCCAATCCAACTCGCAAAAGCCGATTCAGATGTCGCTCGACCACAAGCCCGACCTCGAGGCGGAGAAGAACCGCATCGTCGCCGCCGGCGGTACCGTCTTCCGCGGCCGCGTCTCGGGCGGCGTCGCAGTCTCGCGCAGCTTCGGCGACTTCTGGTTCAAGCGCAACGAAGAAAACAACCCGAACAAGAAGCCGTGGGACCACCTCGTGATCGCCGAGCCGTGCGTGAACGTGACCAAGCGCGACGCGCACGACGAGTTCCTCGTGCTCTGCTGCGACGGTATCTACGACGTCATGTCCAACGAACAAGTCCAGCGCTTTGTCCGTGACCGCCTCAAGGAAGGCAAGAAGCCCGAGATCATTGCCGAACTCCTCACGGACGAGTGCTTGAACAAGGGCAGTCGCGACAACATGAGCGTCATCATTGCCGTCTTCCATTAAGCGCCATCCTCGTTGTTTGGATCGTCTTTATATAACCTATTGAATGCATGCTTCCTGTGGCGCCAACGCCTGCCTACGCGCATGAGGCCCAGCAGGCCATGACTCGTGCATGCATGGTTTGCCTTGGCTTGTGCACGCATGGTCTGCCTCGGCATGTGCCAGTAGCATGGCACGAGCAAGGCAGACATGACATGCCATCACGACGCCAGCACCAAGCGCCATCATGAAGAGCTTATGGCGCAGTCGCGCATGGTCGCTCGGTTGTCGTGACGCAGACAGGCCTGAAAATGGCGTTCTTTTAGCCTCGGATTGCGTTCGAGCGATAAAATAGCTTGGTGTTTGTAGGGAGAAGCGATTGTTTTTAATGCGAAGAGCCAGCGCGACGTCATTCCACAATCCGCCATGTCCCGCTTCCTCTCGGAGCCGTCGACGGCCAAGGCGTCGCATGCGACGACCGCGCCCAAGCTCAACCTCTCGATCGGCTACAGCAGCATGCAGGGCTGGCGAGACTCGATGGAGGACGCGGACCTCGTCGAGGTCGAGATCCCCGGCAGCGTCAACGGCGCGTGCTTTGCCATCTTTGACGGCCATGGCGGCGACCTCGTGGCCAAGATCGTGTACGCCGAAGACGATGCATCATGTCATGGCCGCTCATGGAGATGACTAGGGCCAAGGAGATTCTCCAGAACATTGCGGCCACGGAAGAGTACAAGCAGTTTGATGGCGTACGTCGTGTCGACTCGATGATGCTTGCCATGCGATTGTGGTAGACGGAGCCGCGCAAGATGGTCACGGCGCTCTCCAAGGGCTTCCTGAACACGGACGAGATGCTGCGCACGAACGAGCTCACGGCGACGACGTCGGACGAGGTCGGTGCCACCGGCCTCCTCATCATGGTCACGGAGAAGCACATCTTCTCGGCCAACATTGGTAGAGCCATGCTTGATGCATCGAGGAGGGCTCACAGGGCGATATGATGCAGGCGACTCGCGCTGCATTCTGAGCAAGAGCCAGAACCAGACGCCGATCCAGATGTCGCTCGACCACAAGCCCGACCACGAAACCGAGAAGCTGCGCATCGTTGCGGCCGGTGGTACGGTCTTCCGCGGCCGCGTCTGCGGCGGCGTCGCAGTCTCGCGCAGCTTTGGCGACTTTTGGTTCAAGCGCAACGAAGAGGGCAAGCCCGAGAAGAAGCCGTGGGAGCACCTCGTGATCGCCGAGCCGTGCGTCAACGTGCAGCCGCGCGACCACGTCAAGGACGAGTTCCTCGTGCTCTGCTGCGACGGGATCTACGACGTCATGTCCAACGAACAAGTCCAGCGCTTCGTCCGCGACCGCCTCAAGTCGGGCAAGTCGCCCAAGGACGTCGCCGAGCTCCTCATGGACGAGTGCTTGAACAAGGGCAGTCGCGACAACATGAGTGTCATCATCGTGCTCTTCAACGCCAAGAAGAAGTAGACAGTATTGTCGATATGACCCCGACGCAGACCCTAACCCGGCGCGTGTATATATCGTCGATCGTCCTTCTTTATATGCTGGGGTGTTCCATGCATCTGCTTGGACTCGGAGATGCCAACGTCTCATTTCGACACCCAGACCAAACGGAACCAGACTTTCTACAGACCAGACCAGACGACCAGATCGACTGGAGATGCGATGGATTGACGACTCGATGATTCTACACGTCGTCGTCGTCGTCGTCCGAGTCGCGGTCGTCGTCATCATGGAGACGCTCAATTGCAGCCTTGATCAAGTGGTTGTCCTTGGGGTGGAAGAAGAGCGCGTTGTTGTAGTGCCGCATGGCTTCGTCGACCCGGCCCTAATCAAGGCATCGTCTCCATCAGGCGAGTTCCAGCAAGCCATGTTACAAGCTTTTTGGCGACACGGCCGAGGAGGAAATGGACCGACGACTCTTTCGGGGCTGCATCGCGGACGACATAGAGCTCCGCAAGCGCCTCCTCGTAGTGCTGCGTGGCCAACAGCACCTTGGCCTTGTGAAAGCGTGCGGTCGAGTTGAGCGGCTGAAGGTTCTGCGCCGTGTCGAGGGCAGCGATCGCTTCGTCGTGGCGCTGCACGGCATGGAGCACCTGCGAAACCCGTCGATAGTATCAATCTATCAACACACAAGCGTACCATGCCGAGGTTGCAATACAAGATCGAGCTCTGCGGGTTGATACTTAGGGCGCGTCGAAAATGGTACTCGGCGAGCTCGAGCTTTTCTTGGCGAAAGTAGATCGCGCCGAGGCCATACCACGCATTGTAGTGGCGTCCATCGACGCGCAGCGCGTGGCGGTAGCACCCAATGGCCTAGAGTATCATGAAAAATGCCGAAAATACATCGAAGAAATTCACGAAACCTTTTCGAAGTCTTCGTTGGCCGCGTACTCGTGGCCGCAGAGCGTGTGGGCGTACGTAAAGTACGGGTTGAGCTGCAGCGCCTACGTAGTAAGATCCAGGTTTCGAGGCGATCTCGACACGAGGGTTGGTGCTACGCGCTGGAAGAACGTGAGCGCCATGTCGTGCTCTTTCTGGAGGCTGAAACAATTGCCAGCGACAAACCACGCGTCGCTCGACCGCTTGTCAAACTCGGTCAACTGCTGTGCGAGGTACGAGAGCGCGACCTCGTGCTTGAGATGGTAGAGGATCGTCGAGTAGATGGCCATGCCCTCCATGCGGTGCGGGTCCGCCTCTCGAATGCCCTCGTAGATCCGAGCGGCCTACATATTTCTTATTGCGATGCGTCGAGAGAGGCGGTCGGCCTTGGGGTAGTTAGCCAGCTCAAAGTAGGCCCGAGCGAGCTGCTGCTGCGCCCACGCCGACGCCAACTGACTCCGAGGCAGTGCCATCAAGCACTTGATCGCCACGTCGCACTCAAACTAGCCATCGATATTACATGTCGATCCAGGAGATGGCCAAGGGGTGTACGAGGCACAGCGCGCGGTAGGCTGCGCCGCAGTCGTGGAGCAGCTGCAGCGCTTGCTAGACAAGACCGTCGGCGTGAGGGAGACGAGGAGGAAGTTGACGACGCCTACCGCATCGCCGGAGACGTGTGCAGGCGACGTCTAGATGAGAGATCGGTCCTCCTGCCATGAGATAGGGAGCCTACACTGTCGGCTCCCGACGCTGTCGTCGTCGATGGAGGAGCGGGGATGCGCAGTTTTGTCTACTTCAAGCCGCACGAATGAGCACCATGAGAAACGTATGGCAAATCGCACGGGTCGATCCTTCTCGGTGAACGTGCGGCTCATGGCTTTCTTCCCTTGCAGCGGCGCAAACTTGCGTGGTCGCTGGGCAGTCGCGTCCGTTGCAGCAGGAGGCCGCGTCGACGCCGCCGGTCGACTGGACGTCGGTCGTGCACCGCTGGCGCGCACTGTCTTCTTTCCCTTGTTGGCAGCAGTACAGGGTTGAGAAACGTCGAAGTTGGCGCCTCGCAGCCGAGCTCGCAAAGGTTTTCGTACGCCGACCACAAGAACGGGTCCTGCTTCAAGCTAGGCATGACCTGTCATCGCTTCCGCCACGTTGGCAATAGCACATTGTACCTCGCCTTGAAGTATTCGATTGCATGCTCAATGCGATTCACTCGCCGGCAAATGCTGCCCATGAGGTAGAGGCCTGCGGCGCCGTTCGGGATGGGCTCGAGCGCAAGGCTGGGCATGCCTGGAAGACTGCCAGAGCTCTTGGGTGGAAGAAGTGCTGCCTCGGCCTCGGACAGTCGACCCGCTTCGTAGCAGCAGAGCGCCAGCATGTACCTGTTCTGCGGCGACCGTGGGCCGCCATGCTCCGTCGGTCGTTGCAGCAGCGCGATGGCGCGATGGCCGTCGCCGGACCGGTAGTAGGCTTCGGCGAGGAGCACGACGTTCGCTTCGGTCGCATGCTCCGCGACGAGCCGCTCGGCGAGGAAAATGGCGCTGGAGAAGACACCGTCGGCAAGGAACCGCTGCACAGCGCTCGTCAAGCACGATTCCATCGTTCAATACGTCTGTTTGATTGGTTCTTTTTTGGAGGAATTTAGCCAGTCATCACTCAAATAAAAAGATCCCTGTATGTCCACAAACTAATCGCACGCAACGGACCCTTCTGCAACGGGCTTAGATAGCCTACAATGGCATCCGACCATGCATGCAATGCGTACGACCACAAAGACGCCAGCACGCCTTTACTGTTCCCTTTCTGATGACAGCGCCTCGAAAAGCGGCGGCGTCCACGAAGGATCAAACAAGCAGTTAATGGCGTGTGAATAGCCTTCCAAGTCATATTTTGTTTTGCTTGGATGAACCTCGAGACGCCGCCACGCCGGACGGCCCGGCCATCGTCGCCACGTACTCCTTCGCTGCTCCAACCTGCCTGATGCGTCGCCCTAGTCGAAGCCGAGGTCGCGCAGCTCGCGCGCCAGACGCCAACCAAGGTCCTCGCCGACGACATGAACCGATGTACGACGCTTCCTCCATGCTCTTCCTCACGCAGGCTCTAGCGCTGCTCGAGGACGTGCTCGCGTCGCTCCGGCAGCAAGGCGCCGAGATGGTCAAGGAGAACAAGTGGACGTTCCAGGACAAGCCGCTGCACCTCTAAGAAACACGCAACCTGGTGTGTATATTAGTTTATCCTAGACTCGAGCTCGTTTTAACTAGGTATAACTCAACATCGAGTTTAAAATGTGGTGCACGAGCGTAAACTGCGAGTCGCGGGCCGTCTCGGGCACGTGGTTGAGCGCGGCCTTGAGCTCCTGGAGCACGTTCTGGACAAACGGCGCGATCGCCGTGTCCCGGGGGTTCATGACGAGGAGCGAGTCCTGCACCCACTTGAGGCTCAGACTCAAGTCGCGCTGCAGGTCCGACCCGAGCTGCTGCACGAGGCAGAGCACAATCATCTGCGAGAGCACGGGCGGGCGCACGCCAAGCACGACGCTCGTCTCGACGTTGGCGCATGTGTAAAAGACCAGCGCGACGTCTTCGGCGCCGAGGGCGGTTTGGAACGCGACCTCGTACTTCTTGGCGGCCAAGAGACTGTCAATGTCGCGGCAGAGCGTATCAAACGGCGACTCTTTCGGGGGCGGCAGCGGCGCGGCGCTGCCCTGGAGCGCATCGAGGCGCTCGGTGAGGCCTTCGACCGCCTCCTGCATGGTCGAGAGCTGGCTCGAGAGCGCACTCCACTGCTCGTTGGTTCTGCAATCTTGAGTTGCGTGCCTTGGACAAACGTATCGTTGATCTGCTCAAACATCTTTTGCGTCGCGGCCTGGAACGACGGGATGATGGTCGATTGGAACGATTCGCGGAACGCGTCGCGCACGGGCGTCTTGACGTCGTCGACCATGTGCGTGAGAGACGCCGCCATGCGCGCGTCGAGGTCCTTGCACTGCGCCTCGAGCTGCGCCGTCACCGGCTTGACAAAGTTGGTTTCCATCGTGTGCAGCACGATGCGCCCGATCGCCGGCACGAGCACGGCCTGGAGGTGCTTCCGGACCACCTTGTCCATGTGCAACTCAATTGCTGCTGCATGATGCGCACTTGGTCCTTCAAATGCTCGTCGCGCTCGCGCTGGAGCGCCTCCATGCGGCGGAAAAATGCGACAGCTCCGACGCGCCGTCGTCATCAAAGCGCGCGGGCACCGGCCGCGGCGACGACACATCGTCCGTAAACGCGTGCACCGACGACGACGGCGACGACCGCGCATAGCGCAAATGCGCATCCGACGGCGGCGGCATCGGCAGCGACGAGACCGACCGCGGCGACCCCGGCACGCGCGACGGCGCCGATGTCGGGGCAAGGCTGTCGACTTCGCTGTGGTCGTCGTCGTCATCGTCGTCGTCGTCGTCACTGCGGCGACCGACCGAGTCGTTGCCGCCGTCGGTCGCGAGCATCGAGCTCAGGCCCGCCTCGCTGCCGTTAAAGTCGTGCACGGTGATCTGCAGATCGAGCTCCGTCTCGGGCGACGCGTCGTTCGGCGCCTCGACGATCGCCGGCGGCACCGCCTTGGGCTCCTCGCGGAACGACCGCACGGGGCTGCGCGGCGCAACGTAGCAGGCGGCCGGCGCCACGTGGTAGCGCTGGATCGCCTGCGTCTGGATGCAGTAGAGCTGCATCGGCGACTCGTCCGCGACGCCCGTGCTCGACGCCGGGTGCAGCACCGTCATCGACAGAATCGGATACGCGAGCGAAAACTCCGTCACATTGTCCAAACGACGCGGGAGGCGTGGGCTCGGGCTGCTCGCCAAGTGCAAGACGCAGAGCGAGGCGGCCGCGCGGTCGGCCACGTACACGTACTCGTGCGTCGGATCCAGCACGAGCTCGTGCATGGTCGACGCATTGTGGAGGCGAAAGCTCTGCGTGCACGTGTCGACTTCTGCGTCCCACGGCGCGTTCCACAGCGACAGCAGCGTGTTGCCTTGGCCGCCGACGAGCAAGCCGGACGCCGCACCGCCGTACTGGGCCGCAAAGACGTTGAGGCTGTTGACGGGCGCGCCATCGAACGGGTCAAAGCGGCGCAAGTAGCTCGCGGCCGCGCCGACCGCCATGCCGCCGAGATGGTACACGTGGACGGCGCCGTCCATGCCGGCGGTCACGAGGTGGTGGCCATCGGCCGAAAACGCCACGTCGTTCACGTGCGCCTGGCTGCGATCGCAGAGCACACTGTGCTCGGTGAGCTCAAAGCCGTCGACGGGGTCGGCCGTCACGTTGTCGAGGTCCGTCACGTACACGGTCGCGTCCTGGACGATGGCAATCTTGTTCGAGTCGAGCGGGTGCCACTTGACGCGCTGCGCCCGGCACGGCAGCGTCTTGAGCACCTCGCGCGTCATGGGCTTTTGCGCGTACATGTCTTCCGAGAGACGCCAGATGACAATGTGGTTGTCCGTGCCGGCCGAGAGGAGGAGGTCCGTATGGTCGTTGAAGAACGCGAGCTCCGTCACCGCGTGCTGCTCGTGCTTGCGGAGAAGGATGCGGTTCACGCTCGACTGGTTGATGACGCGGATGAGGCCGTTCCGGATCGGGTACGAGATGTAGTGCTCGTTCACCGAGATGAGCGTGCCGAGATCCGACGCCCGCTCCGAGACATAGAGCGTGATCGGTGTCACTTCCAACGACCGCGCATCCGTGTCCTTTTTGGGCTCGTAAACGCACTGCTGGCCAAGGAGACGCGTGCCAGGCGACAGTGTTCCCGGCGACGAGATCGACGCCGAGCGCACCGTCGCCGTCGGCGGGGGCACACGCGTCGTGACCGAGCCGCCACTGGCACTCGACGGACGCATGAGCGCCGGAATCGGCAGAGCGGATGGCTGCGGGTGGTTGTGGTGTCCCGGCGTCGTGAGCTCCGGATCAAAATGCGAGCGGTGGCTCGGGCTCGGGCTCGTGCTTGGTTGCGGCGGCGGCGGCATCGACGCAGGCGACGGCGACCGACCTTGCATGTTCAGGTTCGGGAACAGCTGGCTAAGCATGTGCGAGCCCGACATCGGCGGTTGCATCGGCGGGTGCATGAGCTGGTGCGGGGGCGGCGGCGGCATGTGCGGCGGCATGGGCATGCCCCCGGGATGCATGTGGTGGGCCATCGGCGGGTACGGGCTAAGGTGCGGGTAATTCGGCATTGGCGGGCCCATGTTCGGACCGCTCGGAGGCGCGGGGGAGTTGGACCGGCGCGGCTCCATGCTTCCTCTCTTCCTGTGGTGGTCGAAGGAAAGACTTTTGTTGTTCCATCCCCACAGTTGCCGAACCGCAGTTTTAACCGGACCGAGCCGGTTGGCATCCCGCATACCGATTGGTCAAAATGGGACGCACTGTCCAAAAAGAATCCAATGCCATTGGTCGGCCCGATTACCTCAGCCACATGCACAGAAGCGTCAACCCGGTCGGAATCTACGCGCTGCCCTTGTCCGTATACCAGTCACTCAGGCATCTACCCTTGTAGCCGCGCACGGGATTTCGCCGCCACTGCCGGCATCATTATGCCAGTCGTCCTGTGCCCACGATGGAGCCTGCCTTGGCACCATGACGTGGCAGCCTCGGTGAAGCGTCGGTTGTTGTCCCGAAAAAGCTAGCGTCGACAATCGCCTGCAGCAACCACCGGTACAGTAGCTTCCAGCGGTGTCGACGCCACGGCAGCACGCAGTAGCTTTGCTCGTGGTGAGGTCCGATGACGGCGATGAGCCACGTGGCGCGTGCGACGAGGTGCATCTCCTGCACCGTTGGCGTTGTGGTGACCAACGCGTCGGGCTTGTAGCGACCGCTTGCAGAATAATTCCATGCGAATAAGGCCGTGGGAGCTAGAAGACGCGAGCAATGTGTGGTTTGATATGTCGTCGACGTCCAGAACTTGGTCATACGAAGAAAAATGCTTGACGGGTGAGGAAGGAACGTACGAGATCTGGTACGCGGGACAGGCAATCGCAAGGGTCCTTCTCGCCATCGCATCAACGGAGCGCATTTTGCCAGAAGCCGCCGGCGCGTTTGACGATGGATGTACTTCTTAAGGCATCCGATGAGGTCTTCCCACGCAGCACACACTACGTTTTATCTCTATACTGTAGAACCTCTGACGCGCTTTGTAGAGGCGCCAAGCCGTCGCTCCAATCCATCGGCATTCGTAGGTCGTACTTGGAAGCGAGCAGGTTTCTGAGTTTTTGTAATCTGTCCGACCGGATCGCGCCAATCAAGTGAGTCACATTGCATGCCGCGTCGACGAGACTGAATTCCCTCGCCCTCTTTGTTTATAGTAGGTATAAAGAGAGTTAGGAATAATACAAGAAAGTTATGGACACAAAGAGAGCTAGGGAGCACTCGCTTTCTGGAGGATCGTTGCGCGTCAGAAGCGCATGGCGCTTCGTTTGGTTCGGACCAAGATCTCCACGTGGTGCGCCCGAACCTTCCAAACATGCGACATGTCCTCTTGTATTTAAATAACGTTATACGAATATATTGCAAACCCTGCAAATCGGCAGCCGTCACTCCTCTCTCGGTCGTGCCCCGCGGACAACCAGTCGCACTTTCTACAATCAGCGCACGGGCGGCCCGCTTATCTCGTGCTGCTGCAAGCTCTGCTGGGGTGCGAGCAACGATGAGAATCTGCAGCTCTGAAGACAAAGCGATCATTGGTCGTCCCGTGAGGCAGATACGGGACGGCGAAGCCGGGAAGACGGTCTGGAACTGACACGGTGTCACCGACTGGCATCTGGATCTCGCTGAATCTTCGTACGCGTCGCGATTGGAAGCGAACCAGACGATGCGCATGCTCGAGCGCCTCCGTAGAGCTATGCACGGCGACAGCTTTCTCTAAGAAGCAGAAGCGTACGCACATCCTCGCAACCAAGCATCGGCGAAGTGATCGGCGGCTCGGTACTGTGCAGTCGTCCTCGTCCGCCGGCCATATGATTGGCTGAAACGCCACCGGATGCAGCGATGCCATTGGTCCGCTTCTCGGCTTGAAAAAAGTGGCCAACAAATCACTTTGTATTTTATTGCGCCATGATGTCGTACCGGCCCCGCGACGACGGCCGCGACATGGAGCTGCCGCTGCGCAAGACCCGGCGACCGTCCCGCACAGTGGCGCCAGGCCTCGCCTCCTACGGCCGCTTCGTAGCCCTCGGCCTTGGCATCCTCCTCCTCTGCACCTATGGCCTCTACTACCAGGTCCAGTACCTCGTCGCCACCCAGTCGCCGGCGCTGCACACGTCGACGCTCGAACAGATCAAGTACGTTGAGCGAAGCGTGCGCGAGGTCGTCTGGGAAGGCCGCGAAGAGATCGACGCCGATGAGTTTGTGACCGCCGACGTGCCCGTGGCCCACCGAGATGTGCTCTTGGTCCAAGAACCACACACAGTGGACCCGATCGTCAACTACCAGTGCCGGGGCTGGCGGCAAACGGGCGGCTGCTCGCCGACGGGTCCGCGCGAAGCGGAGAACGACAGGAAATGCCACGAAGCCATCAAGGGCGGCAGCTCGGGCTACTGCGAGTTCTTCGACCCGGCGACCAACCGCACGTTACACCTCCTCGAGAGCACGTGCACGACGTTTCGCGGCGACGCGCGCTTCTCATGCAACATGGCCAAGGACATCCTCATGTTCCACAAGCACGCCGACAACTACCGCCACCCGTACTTGGTACGTCCATCGCTCGCCCTCCATATCTCCAACTCTCGGTGTAGCTCGACGGGCCCAAAGACGCCATGCGCTACCTCAACCACTCTGAATACACGGGCCCGATGCCGCACGACGATGACGTCGATGCGTCGACGATGACGCGCAAGTGGTACGACAAGCACCCGACGGTCCAAAAGGTGTACCCGACCAACGGCATCGTCATGGTCGTCTACGAGAAGGCGCTCGTGTCGCTCTACGCATCAGTGCGGCTACTGCGGACGGTGCACAACTCGACGCTGCCCATCGAGCTCTGGTACCGGGCCGACGAGCTCTCGGTCGACCACCCGGTGCTCTCCAACCTCCTGAGCAGCTTCCGGGACATTCGTCTCCGCGAGATCCGTGACCCGCGCGCCATTGGCTTCTACGTCAAGCCGTACACGCTCTTCTTCTCCCACTTTGAGAACGTCTTGTTTCTGGACGCGGACAACTTTCCACTGCGCGACCCGGCGTACCTCTTCCATTTGCCCGAGTTCACGGCCACGGGTGCGATTTTCTGGCCGGATTTCTGGCATCCGCGCAACACGATCTTCAACCTCCACGACGACTCGATGGTGTGGCCGATGCTCAACCTCTCGTACGTCGACATGATGGAGCAAGAGTCGGGACAGCTCCTCCTCTCGCGGTCGCGCCACGAGAAGGCGCTGCACATGCTCATGTTTTACGCGTTCCACCGCATGGCGCCGCAGCCGCAGCCGGATACGTTCCCGACGGAGCCCGTGCCGACAACCGCGGTCGAGGACAGCGACTTCGAAGACTACGAAGACCCAGAAGTGGACCCGTTGCACACGATCCCCAACATGATCCAAGGCCTCAAGCTCGCGTGGGGCGACAAGGATCTCTTCCGCTTTGCGTGGCTCAAAACCAACGCGACCTTTCACATGATTGCGACGCCACCGGGCGCGGTCGGTCTCTGGGGCTGGATCAAGTACATGCGCCCCGACGCGACGCCGTTCCAGCGCTTCTGCGGCCAGAGCATGCTGCAGTACGACACGACGGGCGAGAAGCTGTTTCTGCATCGGAACACCATCAAGCTCGGCGTCACGGAAGCGTCGCGGTCGCCGCAGTGGCAGTACATCCAGACGCTCCGAGAAGGCGTGAGCCTCGCCAACTACACGGTCAACTGCTGGGTTGAGAACACGTACTCGTGCTTTGGCCGCACCGAAGGCACGAACGACCACTTTACGGGCGAGCTGGCCGACAACGCGGTCGTATCGCTCGAGCAGTCGATTCTGGCGTTTGCCGAAGCTGGCGCGGCGCTGGTGCCGGCGACACCCGCGCCCTCCATCGCGTCGCTCGATGCATCCGATGACAACGACAAGATGATCCCCGGCATGCAACACGGCCGGCGCTACCAGGAATAAAACTGTCCTTGGCGGCGTAGACACTAACTTAGAAACAAACACTGTACTCCTTCTACATGGCGTTGGCCGAGACGGAATGTGTCTGGTTTGGGTTGATAATGAGACCGTCCGTGGGTCGCAGTGGTCATCTGCGAGTGCCTCATCAACGTGACGGCGTACGATGTCTTTACTTGAAAGTCCCGATCTACCTCAAGTCGACGTGCCAGCCATCAACCTCTTATGGTCTCGATAGGCTCGAACGTCACGTCCATCTTTACGCTCCTCTTCCAAGACGACATTCCCAACAACCTCAACGACGGCAAGCTCGAAAACATGTTCTTCGCGGTCGGCGCTGTCTCGGCCATCAACCTCTCCTTCTACATTATCGTCATGCGCAAGATGCAGTTTGGCATATGCACCGTCCACGAAGACGAAGTGAATGAGAAGGATGCGCTGATCGACCAGTCGTCCAACCTCATGAGCGCGCACGAGTCGTTCACGCAAATGCGCGCTGCTGTTGAGTGGGCAGTGACAAGGGTCCATTCAACGGCGCTCGATGGCCCGTGTGGAGATGAATCTGAGGTTTCCATGGGCTCGCTGCCGTTTTCGAGACGAGCTCCGAGTGAGACGCGTCGTCGAGACAGCCTGTCCTGAAGAACAGAGGCCATTGATCTCCGCCGTCTACTAATACACTTGACGCAGCGACAATATCGTCCATCGCGATCAAACGGACCAAGCCCGTAGGTAAGTAAATGTATGAGCAAAACGTCGTCCTCAATATCAGGACTGACGTCTGCAGGAGGTGTCAATGTGTCAATGGGCCGATTCACCGAGAAAGCAGTTCTTTTTCCTCACGACAGGTTTCTTCCACATTTGATTGGCTCTCCAGCTTGACATCTCGACTTCAACTCGATCCTTTTTTATTATTAAAGCACACTTGGTCACTCTACCTCGGTTATTGTATGTAAATCTTGCCTGTTCAAACATGAAAGAATAATAGTATAGTATCACCGTATCGGGTGGTCGCGGGCTTGTCTCTTGCCACGTGGACGTACATTCATATGCTCAGCAGTGTTATGGTTACGGCGTCGCGGGCCAGCTACACGAGACAGAGAACACGGGCGTGCTCTGGGATCTTGTAGCGCAGCGCCTGGAGTACGAGGCGAGCGTCGAGGGTCTCGACTGGAAGGGCAGAGATCCAAGTGATCGCGTGATCGAGTGCTTTATGGGCGCAGTCGATCGTTGGTCGTTGAGTCACCGTCGACGGAGCGCAAAAGTCGTCGGGCTCGAGTAGGCGGAGCTTTTCAATCTCAGCAATCGCAGCGGCCGTGTCCGTCGGGAGATACGCTAAGAAGTGCAACGTGTCGTCCAAGACGGAGGCAAATGCCGTCGGTGCAACCCGGGGCATCTTGCCTTTGCCCAAGATGAGCCAGCTAATCAACGCATGCGTTCCAGGCCTCGAGCAAAAGCAAGCGTACCATGCCATTTCCATGTCCGTTCGCGACTGCTTGCGCTTGCCGCGGCCATGCGGTTCGTCTTGAGCCTTCCGTGCAAGCGTCTTGGTCAGAATCCGCATCGCTCGAGCTCAACAAGGAGCTTTGATCGTAGGAAGGGTAAATGCTAAAGTGTCGATCGTCCCTCGATCGACCGAAGCTCATCGATATCTTGGCGAGGCTGCCAAATCATCTGGAATGTTCATGGTATCCTGAGATCTGATTGGTGGCTTTCAACAGATTTTCTTCTTCTGATTGGTCTGATTTTGTCTCCCGGCAGCCGCCGGCGCACTTTATCGAGCATACTACCTGTTACAACGAATAGCCAGTATCGAATGCTAGAGGTTATCGTGGCGATCGCCCATTTTCGATTGACATGGCCAGCCGCTCGACGGGCATCCGCGCCCGCCGCGGTGACAGTGGACAAGGTCTCGGCTGCGGCTCGCGTACTAAGCACCGCGACCTCTGCAAGCACCATCCAAAGCGCCGCGGCAGCTCTGCGGCGGACCAAGGCCAACAGCTCATGCACCCTTACTTGCCGAGGCTCGTACCCGCCGCCGCCGCTGCCGACGCGGGTCCAGGTCCAGACGACGACTGCTGCGATGCAGTCTATGAAGGAGAAGATGAACTCGATGGCCCGTTGGCTTCTGTCGCTCCGATCTCAAGGCGCACCTCGATGAGCACTGGCGGCGCGTCACGGCGACACTTCCGAGGATGTATGACACTCGTGTGGCCCAGTCGGCGACCTTGGACAAGATCAAGACTCTTTCATGCTCCCGAACGCGCTGCTCAAGGCAGGCGACGCGACGATGCTCGATTATCTCTTCTCCAACATGCAAGTCTTTGTCTTATGCACGTTCTTGTTTTACAGCGATGCCATGCGCGAGCTCGAGCTGACACGCATTGCCTGCGGTGAGCAAGGGGCAATACCAGTAGCTGAAACAGCTCGTGGCAAGTTGTCGTTGGGTTGGAGAGCATAGCGCTGGCAAGGTCCGCTCGCTCAAGCACGACAACTGTCCCGTGGCTCGCGCTGCCATCAAACACGCCAGCGTCTTCTCGGCCTTGCACCCCAAGTTCCTCGACTCGCTTTCCCCCTCATCCGAAGCTTCTATCCCTACACTAAGCTCAAGCGGTGGGTCGTCAAGACGACGATGGCGACATAGATCCGTGAGATAAAGATGAACGGTTTGACATTTGCGGCTTTCGAAAAGGCTCACAAGGCTGCGATGGCGCGCATGTACATGGAGACCGAGCAACGCTACCTTCATCATTGTGTCTCGACGCAGTGCAGCATCCAGCAGCACTTGTACTGTCGAGTTTGTGGACTTTGATGATTGGCCCTGCCGCGGAAAATCGGCGCGACATCAAGTCGACACGACTATGAGGCGCTTGAAGCCATTGATTATGGGCCATATATCGTCGCTGAGGGCGAGCTCCTTCGGATGGACCACACGTTCCGTGTCGCCAAGTTTGGCAAGGATGCCAACGGCGAGAAGAAGTGCAGCTGCATTGCAACAACCATGAACGAGCACCAGGAGGTTTGATTACCAAGCTGTCCTGGACAATCAACGCTCTTTACTATCAGCTAGCATAGACATATATACGTTTTGTGACCATTTGTACGATGGACGCGATGGAAGATAGTCAATCGCCTCCTAGTCATCGAGCCTTTCACAGTCAATTGGATTGGTGTATCAAAATTGGTATCCAGCGATCCTATTCGTCGTTGGGAATTGGTATCCAGGCATTTGATTGGCTGTTGCCAGCGGTTGCCGGACGGTTGCCATACCAAGGCGCTTCCCATTGGCCGATATCTGCCACGATGGCAAATAACTACCGTCCATCGTCCGGAAATCGGGCACCTCATCCCGGAAAAACTCCGGGCGAATGGCGCCGGAATCCCAGATTATCTGCCACCTCGCCGAAATTGGCGCTGAGATGGACTCGGTTTCGGAAATGCGGCAGGAACATTGGTGATTGGCTACAAATTCAATCATTTGTCGCTGTGATTGGCTGAAACGCTTTCGCCTGGCGTAGACGAAAATGAGGCACATCGACGAGCAACGCTGCATTGCGACCAAGCGATACTGTACCTCGTGATAGCGTCTACGTAAAGGCTGTGGGTGGAGTCTTTGAAGCACAATGCGGCAGCGTTAGTGGTGCCCGAGGAGCCTCGGCGTCGTCTTCCTAACGTCGCCGGTCTTTATTATTGGCGCTCGCCATTTCAACCATCTATAGCCACATGTGGGCGAACTCAGGCTCGCCACGTCGTACGAAACGGTTCGGTACGACGATTCCC